AGGCATAATGTAAATATAATGGAGTTAGATATTTTCCTTTTCCTAGGTGGTCAGATAAAATTATTTTTGAATTGCTTAGGAGATAGGGCAGTTAAGTAGGGAAAAGGTAAACCAACTGACCACAATAGAGGCAATATCAATAGTTCAGTACTGGAGTTTCCCTATACAGTCATGAAATATAAAAAAATAGTATTATATCAATATTCAACATTGAAAGTTTGGGTTTCCTAGAAAAGTATGGTACATTTTGTTTATCTACAGGAAAAGATAGTTGAAAAGATAATAAATCAGTCTGTACTATTCATACACATATGCTTGTCAAGATAAAATGTGATGTAATTATAAGGATGATGTTAATGAGTGAGTTTAGATCCACAAACATTTTGTTCATCAAAAGAAAACAATACATAATATGATCACTTAACATTATAATGTTGGGATTATAGACATAGTCAAAATTTAGGATGTTTTACATCCTTTTAAAAAGTAAAGTGTCCCCATAATTAAGGCAAAAACTATTTATTTCATTTAATATGTCTAATATTCCCATTTCTATACCTCTTTCTCCTAGGATATAAAAATATTTTTACAATAAATATTAGTAAACACCTATTAGTAATGCATTATAAATAAATATTACCAACAAAAATAAATATTACTTTTGGAGTTCAAAGAATTTAGAAATCTGGAAAAAAAATCATGCCTACTGTATAGTAACAGCATACAATATCTCTGAGAAATGGTACTAAAATGTCTTTTTTAATGCTGGCAGAAACACACTTCTTCACTGTACAACGTATTTGTCCAATAAACAGCTCCAGTTGCTTAAAAATGTGCTGTAGAAATCTACTCCTTAAAATAGCCACTGAATCCTTGATGTTACCTCCGTTTTGAGGATCTTTCCAACTTAATCTGAAATTCTTGCATAGAATCAGTCCCTAGGGAATCAGTGACCTAGGGAATTTGTGTACATTAAAAAGAAAAGCCTGAAGAAAGCACTGTGGGAAAGTCACCAGAAAAATATTATGTGTCCAGCCCACAATAGGCCTCCCCTGTGTAACATGCAGTGAGTAGGGGCTGGTCTTCTGGCCTTTATGAAGTTTGATTTTCTTATAAGTTTGAGATTACAGAACCCCTGAACTAAGAGGGCTGAATGAAGAAAACCTCCTGTGTTCCCTCCCAAAGAAAATACACAGAAACTCAGAACCCATCAACTCAAACACAGAACTGTCCAATGAAGAATATATTCATGTTGTATGCTTCATAGAAGTGAAATTATTCTAAGACTAGAGGGTAGGGCACCGAAACAAGAGAAATGGGCTGACTGTGAAACACTTACTAGCACAGGACAGTGATAAATGCACAGCTCATCTGTCTTTGAAACTGGAACTCTAGGTTTGCTGGTTCATGATGGTTTTTCAGGATATACATCCCTGGAGAGCACTAGAATAGATGACATAACTTGACTTTCAAAACTTGTTTGGCCAAGCTCTAACCGTTACCCAAAAGGAAGTATTTTTTCTTTAGAAATAAAATTTTGGGGAAATTTCACACAGTCATGTCTCTGCTTTGATCCATAATATGTTGAGTTGATGGATTAAATATCATATTTCCAGCTTTGGGGGGAAAGAAAAGAGTAATGGTAAACACACATACACACATGGACCACCCCATTCTGAGCTATATTAACTTAAGTCTGAGGTGCTAAGCAGTTTGTCTTTTCTCCATTTGTACCCACTTAGCATATCTGACTTGCATTTAGGTAAGGCTTTGTCATTTGCCCCCCTTTCTCTGTCTCTTTGGATTTCCCTGTCTCTTTCCCTGCAAGCACCAAGGAAGAAACAGTATGTGTAGCTGTGCTATAGAACAGCCCACTTAACAGCACTTGACGGGAATTGACTAGCAATGGGCATGCAGCCCTATTAACTCTGCTGCAAATAACTCAAGTCATAGCAGAAACTACCTCACAAAAGGGTCAAGATCTCTTTCAGAACAAACCACTTGTAAACATTTAAACAGGAAACTGGTTGAGGATTCTAAACAGAGACATGAAGAGTTCCTAACATCATCACTATCTCTCTTAGAAGACAGAGCTCAACCCTTACATTAAACCTCTTTAAATGGAGGACAGAGAAATCAATGTCTAAATCATCAGCCACTGTAGGAAACATGCAGGCTTCCAAAGTATCATTTTTTATATAATCTTAAATATGTAAATGCTTTATTCGTGCTTGAATATCTGCTTATCCATAAACTTCAGGATGGCAAATACTCACTATGGTCCATACCCGTATTTGTTGGGCATATTAGATTTCGGTGCTTCTCCTCTTCTTAATATACTTAAATCTCATTTCTAAAGTATGTCTATTGCATTACTAGAAGTGATTATATATTCAGGTTTTCAATCAACTGGTTTACTTGGTTGGATTGACTATAAATTTGTTGACATATATTGATGACTCCTCATTTTCTTGCCCAGGGATCATTTCTTCTACTCATTTATTTTCAATCTCTCTACTTTCTTATTTGACAATATCCTATGAGCAGCAAAACAGAGCACTCCAAGCTCATAAGGAATGGTGTAAACTAATTAGCAGATTTTATGATGGAAACTATTCCCCTCCCATGTGATCTTTCTGGTTGGATAATAAACTTTGTAAATATATACAGCTCTTACCACATGAAGGCAATACCTCATTCAAACAAGCTCCTGTTTTACCCTTAGATTTCAGTTCATAATTGTAGACATGGTTCAAATACAGAAATAAACTGTCAGTAAGGGGTGAGGTACTGTCTTAAAAATAAAATAGTCTAAAAAAATGGATTTTGAGTTTTAAAAAAATCTTGATCTTCTTTTGCAGCTGACAGAAAGAAAAATAGCCCTAATAAGATGTGTTTGAAAAAAATCTGTACTATGACTGAAAAGACAATGTATAACTGAAATACAGGGAAGTCAGAGGAAATTCTCCTGCATGCAGGTGTGCAGAAGCACTGAAGGGTAACTAAAAAACCTTAAATAGAAGTGTTGACTAGTTTGTTATTGGAAGAAGATCCAGAAATAAGAGTGAAAATCAGTGCTGGCTCATTACATCAGCAGTGGATTAACAACCCCCACTGCTACAGTTTCCTTCAACAGCAGGTGGATGGTTAGACTACTCTAGCTTCTTGTCCCCTGGCCTGGCATAGAATGAGTCCATATCTTCTCCATGGATTCATGAATGACCACAAGTCATTGCAAGATGCATTTAATACCATGGTTGCCCTGCTTGCATTATTGTCAGATGTTCCTATGTTGGAAATTTTATCCAGCAGTGTACTTGTGTTTGCTTACCACAGGTATGATTTGCTACCAAAACACCATGAACAAAATTCCAAAATAAGTTAAAAGAATAGGGAGAAACCAAGAACAAATTTTCTATATCTTTATAGTCTTCTTCATGAATGCAGTTCATTCACTTTAATGCTAATTACCAATGTAGAAATATTATAATACAAACAAAGTATTGCTAACCTCATAGGTAAAGAAATATGGATTAAAAACAAATGGCTGAAATGCCATCTACAAGCTCTCTACCATGCATATAGTAAATTCCATATAAGTTTGGGTATGGAACTTGAAATATTGCTTATCATGACAGTACACATAAACAACCCTACACAAGAAAGCATTAAACATATTTAACAATTCATTTCAAATTTGAATTATTTGCAGATGGCATCCAGTCTTAATATGTATAGATATTTTATAGCTTTACCTAAACATAAATAATATATTTGTCTGATGTACTAATGCCAGAGGCATATTTTTATTCTGATGAATATTTCATCATCTATGACTGCCTGTAAAAATTTAAGTATTCAGTATGATAAAAAACAAAACATCCCTATGTGGGAATAATAGGAAATAATCCATTTCATAAAAATAATAATTAGCTTGCCATATTCCATTACTACTGACCAATTACTATGGTGTTGAAGAATTCCTTTAGACTGAAAATTTTCTTTGGGTTGAAGAAAATCTGTAGAATGAGGTCAGGAAAGTCATATTTCTCATGTGTTTGGGCATAAAATTTCAAGACTTTCAGAACTTAGATTATAGAAGAAATTAAAAAGATAGAACTTTCTATTATAAGATGAAAATAAAGGATAAGAGGGCTACTTAGTGATGCTATTACAAGTATGAAGTACGCATATTTAGACAAAAATCAAAAAAAAAATAAATATCAAACCACATATAAACAAAACATTAACAAGGAAAATGGTTCATTTAAGAACACAAGTTTTTTTATAAGTTTAAATTTCACATAGCATTGTTGACACTGGTCAAATAGTATACACTAAAATATACTTAGAGCATACAATAAGTATGTACTATTTGAGTCTTCATAAATGATGCTAAAATAACATTTCCTCTTTCAATAATTTTATTTTAGCAATAAAAAAATGTATAGATGTTAGTCAAATTCATGTTCCCAGTAGATTTTAAAAGCTTCAAAGAATACATTTGATGAAATTTGCATTTGATTTGGAAAAATGTCTGTTTAACAATTCAACATGGCCATATTTTAACTTTTAAGCTCTCACACTGAGAAAGTATCAAGGTATTGTAGCAATTTACTCTTAGGAACATTATGCTGGGCTTTGAAATTCAAAATATAGACTATTTCTTCTTGGATTATTTTATGATCAATGTACAGTCTAAGCAAGGAAAATTAAAGCTGTCTGACAACTCATAGAAACATCACTGGCTGTTAAAGATGTAGGAAATTGCATAAAAGCATGAAAAGCACTGGGCAATTTTGCAGTTTCATCTCTAAACACAATTGTAAAGACGTCTGTCTTTCAATTCTTTCTCCCTCTTTCTTCAGAAGCATGGCCTTTTAGTTCTTGCCCTTTTAAATAGCTTTGCCTACTGTAGCTTTGCTTCTTAATGTACTGGTTGATCTTACTAGGCAAAGAAAGTATTTACAGGGGATGCTTGCTTTTATCTGTATTCACAGAGAATGCTAACAAATTAGAAGAAAGTGCCAGAGAACACCACATACCTTGTCCAGAACATTACAATGGCTTCTGTATGCATGGGAAGTGTGAGCATTCTATCAACATGCAGGAGCCGTCTTGCAGGTAATGTTTTCACTCCTAGACTTTTAAAATGTGTAGGTAAAACTAAGTTTTAAATGTTTATGGAGGCTTGGTGGCATTCTGCTTGAATGAATTATCAGCATCAGAACATCTCTCTGCCTTTCTTATACATACATACACACACATGTATGTGCAGGTGCATGTGTGTGTGTGTAGAGGGAAGCTGTGCACTCAGAAACCATAAAATGTGTATGCCTTACACACTCAAGTACCATGTAACACATTGCAATATACACTCTTCTAGTGGAATTTAAAATTGTACTTTGCACATTACAATATACATGAAGATACAGGCTATTCATTATTATGTACACTCTTTTCCTTGAACATAGAACAGTGCTTGACGCTGTTCATTAAATATTTCAAATGAGTAAATGCTACTTTAGGAAGGTGATCATTTCAAAAGTCCTTCACTTAATAATAAATATCATTCTTGGTGTTGCCAGGCACTCAGTCACTGTTTTCTATGGATCTGCTATCCATTCAGCTTTGCGGAGTGAGATGAGTAGCCACACCTCTATAGTAGAGACACAAAGAAAACTTGCTCCACAAAGGGTTGCCCCAAACCTTCAATTTGTGCAAAGCACAGTATCTGTAAACACAATAAAGGGAAGCACAATAAAATGGAAGAAAACAAGAAATCGCTTGTCTGAATTTGGTTTATAAATATCTGCTGAGTATTTTATCTGGGACATAGTATAATTATTTCAGAGATGGACAAGCCAAAATGGGGAAAAAATGTATTTTAATGAAATCAGTATAAAAGTGACATATGACAAAATAGTTAGTTTTAATACATAAAAACACTCTTTCTGGTTCTTCCCTCCCTCTCTCTTTCTGCCCCCTCCCCTCTTCCCCTCCCCTCCCTTCCCCTCCTCTTCTCTTCCCCCCCCACCCCCCTGAGATTGTCCTCCTTTCCGGTTTCCCTACACTGTAGGCATTAGCACCTGCCTCCTAGTGACACCAGGCAGAGTGCACATAGTGGAGAGATTAATTATCTGCTGCTCCCACTCTCCTCTGTAGTCTCCATTGTTAAGCCCTTCCTGACGCACAGAACAAGACTTCCGGATGTAGATAGGAGAAATTCAAGGTCTAATACTAAAATAGTTCCAAAAAACATCAATGACAAGTCAATCCCCTTTAGTATTTTTTTTCTGAAATGTTTCCTCATTTCATTGTCAAATGCTAATTTTAATATGCAAATTTCTACCTGAGCTTGTGGTTAGTTGTTGAGTAAGTGAGAGGCAACATTCATTCCCAGAGGAATCATACATGAGCTTGTTTTGCAGAACTATATGGCCACTATCAGAATTACTTTTTTTAATCTCTATTTTTTTCTTTTCATTTGCTTATTTTTTTTTTTTTTAGTTTGAGATGGGATCCCACTCTGTTAACCAGGTTGCTTTTGAACTTGTGGGCTCAAGTGATCCTCCTGCCTCAGCCTCCCAAGTAGCTGAGACTATAGGCACACAACACTGCATCCAGCCATAATTACATTTTTCTAACAAATTCTAACTCCTCAACATCAACATCAGCACATGATTTTATCATTAGCAAATTAAAGAAATAACTCTTGCTATACCTCTGGTTTTAATGTTTTTCAAAAAATTATTTCCTGATAATAGAGAATGCTTTACTTTGGGACTTTTTGGTTGTTTTTGTTTGTTTGGTTGGAGTTGGTTTGTTTATTTGTTTGTTTGGGTACCCATGTTATAAGAATAAAACTTTTTCTCAAGTATACATATTGGCTTAGGTTGATTAAAGAGCAAATTAAATAAAATTTAAAGCTTACCTGATAAATAAAAACAGAACAATTCTCCCTGAATGGGTATCCTCTTCTGTCTGTATTGTCATAAAAACAATTTGTCTAGCAATACTATCTTCTAAATTCAGTTTTAAATATAGAAAGGGACCACACATCTTCCAAATTACAGATAAGTTGAAAGAAAATAATTGAGAACAAAAAAATTTCATGGTGAAGATCAATGTCTATTAGTCAACTATAAAAATGAATCCAGAAGCTACAGGTAACAGGATACTGTAATTTCTTCCAGGTGTGATGCTGGTTATACTGGACAACACTGTGAAAAAAAGGACTACAGTGTTCTCTATGTTGTTCCTGGTCCTGTACGATTTCAATACGTCTTAATTGCAGCTGTAATTGGAACAATCCAGATAGCTGTCATCTGTGTGGTGGTCCTCTGCATTACAAGGTCAGTAACTTTACTTGGTGACTCAAATAAAGGGATGCATTGTTCTTCCTCTTTCGAATCAGATCTGTCTGGTTATATAGTCCCTTAATGAACTCCATAGCTATCCATTCTCCATAAGTCCTGATTCCTCATCATAAGACTTTTTGAATAGTCAAATGGAAAGACATGGATTTTCACATTGGACTAGTACAAACTATTTTTTTTTTAATTTTTGCATTATGATGAAAATTATTTATTTTCTAAGCAAAAGTCTTTTTTAATCCCTTCTAATATACAATGCTAACCTTTCTTTAAATATATCTTTCTCTTTTAACTACTAGCCCCTGTAAATGACTAATGTATCCTTACCTACCCAGATCAGTATGCCAAATTAAATGAGGGTATATTTTATACAAGGCCCATAAAGGTGTTACATTGGAGCTCTCATTTATAGCACTTATATTTCTAAATGTAAGTCTCAGATATAACAATTTTAACATACTTGGTATAAACATCAAATACTTTGTATCTTAAGGTGACAAAATAGCTTTTAATCACAAAATTCATTGTAATGAGAAAGATTATATTGTAGTAAATGAAGACTTTTAATACATGCAATCTTTAATGCAATGCAACAAATATCACAACAAACTTTTATATCAAACACCCTGTCCAATCAGAAGGTAATTATTTCCGAAGGAATAAGGTCGAGAAAGAGTGGAGGTTCCATCCAGTCTCAACAGGAAAGCAAAGTATGTAATGTCTGTCATTGGGCTTGGAGTAACTGAGTGAGGCCAGGGACCTGCTTGATTTAATTAGTGTGTGACCCATGGTAACCAAGAGTTAGATTCTAAACCAAATGCCTATCATCCATGTCCTGTGTAACCAGAAACGTTATTGAAGATACTTCTTTCTAACCATATTTCACTCACCTTTATAAAGTTCCAAGGAAGTTCTTTAAGGTTTTTGCCAAATTCATGAGGCATTTCACTCATTTGTACAGCTCTCCAGTAGATCTGAATGTTTCCCAAAAAATTATTTTCAAAGAACAAGAAAATGAAAAAATATCATATCTTTAGAAAATAAAGGTCATAATACATCTCACTCTCTGTATTTCACTGTCTTCTTTGAGGATAAGTGTGGCATTTGCTCTTGAAAAAAACAAAATATGATTCATAAATTCTCACCTGACCTAGAGGCTTAAGGGATGATCATCTACTGCAGCTTTGTGCTGCTCTAAGCCAAGCTGAGTTTGTTAACTGCACTCTCCTGTTTAGATGGCAAGTGAGTCAATGGATTATATTAAAATAGATTCTGGAGAACATAAAGATAACTCAAGCAACCAGAAATACTGAGTATTAAAAAGAAAAGATAGATAAGAATCTGAAACACAGAAAACTGCATACTACTTTAAGGGTCTTGAGCTTTCTAATATCCAAGCAATATCAGTACATGAAAAACAAAATTCATCTTTAGTGGATATGATATCATAACAATTTGATTGCTACTTCATATATTTTTTAGAAAGGCAAACTTTCCATACTTCAGCAGATGTTTCCAACTCTGCTATTAATTACAGTTTCATCCCATAAATAATAAAAACAAAGGGATACACAGGGTTCTTGCTTCACCAAGAATTGTGTGTATGTGCACGTGTGTTGTGTGAGTGTGTGTGTGTAGACTATGTGTGTCATTGTGCATAAATACACATGTGCACATTTAATAACATTACAAAGAATAAACAATTATCCTCATTTTTTAGGTAGAGATTCTGAGGTCTGAGAAGTTAGCAAAGTGTCAAGTTCATAGAGTTGAGTGATAAGAACAAAAGAGATGTCTGGCTATCTGGTTTCAGACCTGTACCACTGCTTATACTACCTCGTGTCTGATTCTGACCTCCAAATCAGAATAAACCATGTTTTCAAGCATATGGCATTTTTCATTTTCCATGTTAAATTTAACACAAATCTACATTTACTTTTTAGGAGGAACAATATCATTTGAACTAGATTCACATTACCATAGTGTACTTTATAAGTCTGTCCTCAGACCACCAAACATTTCAAAGCCTCCAGGAGTCACACTCATCAGTGAGCTACACCAGTTCCTAGGGTGGATCCATTTCATTTGTTCTGCTTAGAAACCATTCCCCCTCCCATTTGAAACCTCTCTAACCTGGTGATCCTGCAACCCTTGTTTGTCCAAACTTATTTCAAAATATTCAGGTGCTAAAACATTTACAAAATAACACCAACCAGATGTCCACTCATTCTTTGCAATTTTCTTTCTCACCAGTCTCTTCTCTCCTCCCTCCTCCATCTTTTTACCATCACCTTTCTTTTTTCCTTATCTCTTCATCTTTATTTCAGTCAAACACCTTCACTCCTCCCAAACAATGTGTGTCACAACAAATATGGACACTAGAGACAAGTTCCAAAATGAAAAGAGTTGTCCTGTTGAGAAGTTAGACTTTTAGTCTTTTTATCTCTAGCTCCCACTTTCTAGGAATGCAATTTCCTGCTCCATTTTCATTTATGATGGGTATGTGTCCCCACCAATCTACACACACATATACACACAAACACACACACACACATACACACCTTCAAACAAACAAACAAACCATGTATCTACTATGTAAGTGTCTGCATACATATGTGTGTGTGTTTTTATATATTCTCTGAGACCCCATAGCTTGTTATCATGGGGTTTTTATGGGAATTTTATATTGTTCCTATTTGCATGATCAAAACAATCTTCTATTACAAGAGAAAAAATACTAGATCAGAGATTTTCAGATAATTTGACTGAATATTAGCTTTTTATAGAAGCTACATAATTGGTATCCATTTATGTCTCCAGCTGATAGTATTCATGCACAAAAAAATGGTTATTAGGCTAAACCAAAACAATATTCCTTCCCATTATATATCAGGTATTAACAGTTGGCTCATTCTCTGGTGTGATAGAATTTTAACTCGTGGGATTGAATTGTCAATATAACATTCATCCTTAAGACATTTAGAATATGAAATTGTTGAAGACCTTTAAAGCGAGATTCGATGAGCTCACGATTTGCTTGATTGCATTGTGCTGAGTCTGTTCGTTGTGCCTTAATGAGTAAGCATTTGAGGACAAGGTAAATGTATTCCTCTTCAACTTCCAGTTCTGTTCTTCCGTTCTCAGCAGACACTTAAAGACGACCTCAAGGAGAAGCAAAACATAAAGTTTCTAAAATAATCCCAGCTTCTACTAGTACTTAATTCTTTCATCCAAGACATTTAAATAACTTGCTTAATCCACAACTTCACTCTGTAATTGTAGGACCAAACTTTAGGTAATCTCATTGGACTAAGATCTGTAAACTTTCCAACCTTCTAGGAAATGCCCCAGAAGCAACAGAATTCACAGACAGAAGCAAAACACAGGGCACTACAGTTCAGACAACACAACCAGAGCGTCCACGAGGTTAATCTAAGGGGAGCATGTTTCACAGTGGCTGGACTACCGAGAACTTGGACTTCACAATACAGTATTATAGACAAAAGGATAAGACAAGAGATCTACACATGTTGCCTTGCATTTGTGGTAATCTACACCAATGAAAACATGTACTACAGCTATATTTGATTATGTATGGATATATTTGAAATAGTATACATTGTCTTGATGTTTTTTCTGTAATGTAAATAAACTATTTATATCACACAATATAGTTTTTTCTTTCCCATGTATTTGTTATATATAATAAATACTCAGTGATGAGAAAAAATTGGCATTCTTAAATCTGCGGTATTTCCTAACTCTGAATATAATCCAGCTAGTACAATCTGTACAGGTACCAGTATTTTATCTCTTTCCACATCTGGAGACAGCACATTAGTTTATACAGGACGCGGTGGCTAAGTTTTGAGTGATTCCAAGATCAAGGGAAATGATGGTTATTGGAAAAGAGAAAAAATAATTTACTTTATATAGAGTGAGGATAAAATATTTCTGATCTTTGAATCATTTCTATTTCATCTACATTCTTCCCTGGTCTTCCATTTTCATCCCCAGAGCAGAAAATCTAGGGCATATAAATTAAATCAAAGAAGAAGGGGAGGGAAAGTATTTTATAACTCATAAAGGAGAGGGAAAGAAGATATTGGTTTTATTTGGGAAACGGCTAAGAATCTCCCAGTTAAGTGTTTTTATCCGAAGGGTCCTGAGTGAGTTAATTATTAGGTATACACACAGTGGAAAAGTCTATTCCATTTAGGTGAATGGAATTAACAGTGAGGGGGAAAATTTAATAACTCGGTAAATTGCCAAAATTGTGACTTCTCAGAAACACCTCACTATATTTGTAGTATGAGATTTTGAAAAAGAAGTTAGGCTTACAACCAAATACCCCATAAATAGCTTTATGACTAATGAGGCACCATTATTTAGAATGGAATTAAGACAATGACAATATTGCATGAAAACAGACAATTAATCCCATAGCATCTGAAGGATGTTAGTGAAATTCTGGTGTTGATTTTTGTTTGATTTAAGCATATGAATAACTATGGCCATTTTAGGAAAAAAAATAAATTATGAATATTCTCAAGGAATAAGATTAAAATAACTAATCAAATAGTTGCCTTATTATATTTATCACTGGATAGCTTTCCATGGCTCATACAGTAAATTTAAATAAAGCTTTCTTTGTATCCTTCAAGTGACCTCTCTGTCTACTAAAAGGAATGATGCTCCTATGTCCAAAAAAGGACACAAATATCAAACCAATATATTCTGAATACAAAATTATTCAGTGAAAAATAAATGTATAAGGTATTTGTTAAAACATAAAGGTGACAATATAAATGGGATTTAAGATTTTAAAAAATCTGGTTTTCCAGATCAGTCATAGTTTGAAGGGTGTGACTGTATTGGCATAACCATCACTCAATTTTTTTATATAGGCCAGTCCTATGATACTTGGATAAGACAATTCCTTTTAAACTGCTGTATGGATGTTTCATTTGATTGACATGTGCATAGATAGAACTAACCCTAAGATCCTTTAAAAGGTAGTAGTTATGGCAAACAAACTCTTTCTCCTCCTAAAGAAGGAAAAAGATTTGGTAATAACTGAGATATATAGAGGTAAGGAGAAATAACAATTGCAGTGACTTTTGCTTGTAAGTTTATAAAATGACTCGCTTGGTTAAATATTGATGCATTACTATGATTTTTTTTTCTCTCATTGGAGATTGTACCCAGGGGTGCTTTATGGAGATTGTACCCAGGGGTGCTTTACCACTGGGCTACATCCAAAGCCCTTTCTATTTTTGGGACAGGGTCTTGCTAGATTGCTAAGGCTGGCCATGAACTTGTGATCCTCCTGCCTCAGCCTCCTGACTGTACGTGAATTTTTATCAAAGATGATAAAGCCTAGTGTTAGAAAACTCCTTAGTACACTCTTGCCCACCTCCATGCCCACCCTCTTCATGGATTCCCCTTTAAAAGCTGCATAAAAAGCCTTAAGTGAGTATATACCATGTGCAAGGTATCTTGAATACAAGATCCTAGGGAGATACAAAAGAAACATTCCTTCTCATGTAAAGAAACTCACCATGAAGTACTAACAAATAATCATTCAGCTTCTACTTGCACATTTCTCACCATTTGAAATTTCATTCTTGGACAATTCTAATTTTCCAAACAATTCTTTCTTATATTGAGTTGAAATTCACTTTTTTGTGGTCTCTCCCAGTGGTCTTTCCTATTTTTCCCTCCCTAGAAGAAAGGAATAATGACTTATATATTTAAAATAAGGAAAGAGATAGTGTTTTCCCTCTTAACCCATATCCTTTTCAGGTATTTTCTTCTCTAAGTGAAGCATCTTCATCTGCTCTTCATGTGATGTGATTCCCACACCTTCATCATTCTCCCTTGACTTTACCTTGACTTATTTCAAGTTCAAATTTCACTGACTACTATAAAGTCAAGTGGTCTGACCAGCAAAGTTTATAATAGAACCTGAAGAGAACCTTTGACTAAGAGCCATGGTTTCTAAATTCAAGTCACTTTGACCACAAATTTGCTGTGGATCCACAAGCAAATCATTTCACATCTCAGGCTTCATTTTCCTCATAAAGAGATCACTTTATCTCTCTAATTTCAGTAGTCTATCTATTCAGGAAAAAAAAAAAAAAGGCACTACACTTTTATCATTGCTGCCCAAGACCACATTGTTTTTGTTACTTATCCTAAATCTAAATTCAAAACACTTTCAACTAATAAGCCACATCATTCATTCATTCATTCACTCCTTTATTCATTATGAATTTACTGTACATTTACTGTGGGTCACCAATTGCAAGCACTATGCTGGACCATGAGATGACAAAAGACAGAGTCCCTGTCCGAAAGGAACTCACTATCATATCATCTGGTATCTTGCATCCAAGATCTCACCATCTGAAGCGGGAAGCAAGAGTAAATTTAAAAATATAAAGAAGGCAACAAAGACTACGATACTGGTCAGCTCAGATTCTCGGGAGCCCTGAAAGGGGCCCTCCAGGCTGGTTAGTTTTGCCTTTTCACTGTGTGACATTCCATCATTCTCCATGCACACTTGGCTGTCTGGTTCTACGATCTTGTCCATGTTCTCAACACACCTTCAACATACCCAGAGCAAATAACGCTTATTGGCGTTGTGTTCCCTCTGTGATTCCCTTGACAGTCCCTTATTTCTGTCATGGGACTCTCCAAGTTTTTCCTTAATTGTCCATGCAAGCCTGCCTTGCCTTTAGCCTGGAAACAATGAGAATTCAGAAAATTAATGACTTGCCATTTTTTTTTTTTCATTTACTTAACAAACATTTATTGTGAGCCTACACCATGCCAGACACAGTTCTAGGTGTTGTGATTTAGCAGTGAGGTAGAAAATAGGCCTGTGCTCTCAGGCTCACCTTGTAACAGAGGAGGGGCAGGTTGGGGAGAGGAGAGGAGAAGATTCATCAAACAACAAACATCACTGGAAAGTTTTTCATTCTGCTTGAGGAATTAAGAACTAAATGAGGTGATTCAGGGTGCCATTGTTATTAATGGGGATTGGGTGTCTCCAATGGGGGTATAATATTTAAAACTTGGTCTCTGAAACAAGGCAGATGTGGGTCCTAAGCTCCACTTTGCTATTTAATCTTAGGCAGTTTGCTTAATTTTTTTACACCTCATATTTACAATGGAGAAAGATCTTCCCCAGTCCCACAAGACTAATATGAAAAATAAACATGACAATCAGTGTTTGGGCTCAAAATAGTGGCATACACAGAGTTCACTTTCAATGCATGGGAATTATTTTTCGAGGGATATGATAAATATTTTTTTGTAAAAGTAAATAGATAAGAAGAAGAAATCATGCTTCTTCAGCCAAGTGATGCATTATGGGAATCACAGGGTCAAAGTTAGATGGCACTGAACAAGCATGTGGATTCCCAGGAGAACCTCTTGTGTCCCCGGAGATAAGAAAGCTTGTTTTGGATCTGAGAAAATATGGCAATATAGAGTTAAAAACACAATCTAATTTATCTAGGTTTTATTTTACTTTTTCCCCAAAGCATCCACTAGCACTATATCTGAACAAGAAAGGGGATCTTTTTTTTTATTTTAAAATAGGTCTATCCTGATAAAATGCATATTAATACTCCAGTGTGTTTCAAGATGCAGGATGAGTGAGTCAATATTGCAGGGACTTTGCAGGACAATATCTTTCCCTGAATGGATTCTTGAGAAGCCAGTGCAGACAGCTGAAATATGACAAAGACTATCTCAAAGTCATATTAAACTCTGCTAATATTTGTCTTCAGATGTGATCTCTTCTTGCCAAAGTCACACAGCACCTGCACCAAGTACTCTTCCTCAATCACAGTAGATACTTCACCTATGTAATTAACCATCTGGATATTAATAATGAATTAATTGATAACTTAATCTAAGCATCCAGAGGAAGCTTATGTACAGGATAGGTAGAGGAAGGCTGAAGGATTATATAAAGTAATAATCAATGCATAGTTATGCAAATGAACATATCCCTTTGAAATCGGCTTCAGAAAGGTAAGTGAGATATGTCAGGCCTCCTTTCAACCTCACTATGGACAGAAATCTCCCTTCCTGGCCTATCTATGCTGGGAATGAGTCCTTGGTTGATGTCTATCTGCTGCAATACTGAATAAGTGAACTTGAGTTTCTTGTATTCTTTTAGCTATTTAATTCATTTTCACTATTTGTTTTGCATTAAATAAGAAATGAAGGAAACAGTGTTTCCCTTTGTTTTTCCAGGCCAAATTCCATACAGGACAAGAACCTAAGTCAGAGTTAATTAGCAGTCCCAAATCAGGCATGATGGGGAAAGTTGAGAGAGAGGCAGAAGCAAGGTCTGGCCTCTGTTCCTTGGGATCAATCCCACTGTCATATACACTGCAGTCTGTAAGATCCTTCACAGATCCCTCCAGAGGAGGCCTAATGACAGCCATCCAGGCAGCAGCTCTCAGGACCTATACAATCAAACCCACTCTTGGGGAAGCATTTTGAGATGTTTCATGTCCTTCTTGTCTGTAGATGTCTCCTCTTGTTGGGATTCCTCCCATTCTTAAAGTACTAACCGCCTGTATTTTCTTCACCCCATGAAACATCCATCCTTGGTTACAGTCCTTTTCTGCCACAATCCAACCTAATTCTCCTCCATGAACCTAGAGGAGCCTTTTTGTATTCCAGGTTTTTATGAAAACAAAGCACAGA